AATGAAAATAACCAAAAGGGGGAGGGGAGTAAGAGTTCAGTGGAAGAGAAGACCTTTTACTTTTTGTTTTTTTAGGGTTTTTTTTTTTTTTTTTTTTGGTACCGGGGATTGAACTCAGGACTTTGCACTTTCAAGGCAGGCGGTGGAACCACTGAGCTAAATCCCCAGCCCGAGAAGACCTTTTAAAGTCACACAAAAAAGCGAATGAAATGCAGTGAAAGAATTTCTCCTGAAGATATTAATCAGATTCTGAGATCTTAGTTTTCCTCAACTGATCCCAAATCCATGCAGATCATTACACTGACTCAGAGAAGGTGAAAGTCTGGTCCAAGTATTATTACCAGTAAGTGGCAGAGCCTGGACAGAACTGAGTCCCTTGAGTTCTGGGCCTCTGCTTGGGACTCCAGGGTCCTAGGTTTGGGACCTGTATGTTCTCCTACAGTTCTTCAGTTGAAACTTGAAACTTGCCTGTGAAAAGGAATTCAAAGATGCATGGCCAGAGACATTCTGGTCTCTGAAAGACTTCCTTCTAGTTTCTAGAAAGTCCTGGACATGTAGGTACTGCTGAGCAGTATTCAGAGAGCCAGAATTCCTTTTAAAACATGAATTACTTTGCTTTGTGGTATTTGAACTGGAGGGCAAACAGTCTTAAATCAAAGGCATCACATTAATGTGGTAAAAGGCTATGTGTTTGGATCCAGCACAACTCTAGGCACATAAAATAGACTGGATTAAAAATTATAAATAAGATATGGAGATTACTATCATTTTTGTTCCAAGATGATGCAACAGTCATAATAGCATATACACACAACTTTGGAAAATCCATATCAGTAACTTCTAAGATTTATGTTAAGAAATAAAATTAATAGAGAAATTAGCTTGGATATATTCTTAAATGTGGAATAAAGGAATAAAAATACAAATAATACTTATAAACAGAGAAAGGAAAGAAATAGCAGGTAAACATACACAAATCAAAGAGAAATAAAAAAATGTTGTTGGCACTTTTAATCTTCTCTGCATTGTGCAACTCACTTTAGCACAGTTCACTTTAACAACCCTTGTGTACTCCCAACAGCTGGATATTTTTTTCCTAAACTAAACTCAGAGTGTCTTTTAATCTGATTAGAGCTCTTCCAGCTACATGTTACCATTAACGATGATACAAAGATCAAACACCATCCATCCACAGTGCTATCGTTTCAGCTTTTACACCGAGTCAAAACAGCCCAATCCTCACCATGACCAGAATCACAAAAACTACTCAGAATAACAAGTTTTATGATCAATTTCACTTTCTTACTGTTCTCAGAAGTCATTAAATCAAATGTGCACATTTTTATCATATTTACTATTTTTTTAAAAAATCTGTTTGAAGTTCATTTCCCTAGTGAACATTTAGGGTAGTATGGTTTGTCCCTGTAGTAGACCGATAAAGCTCAAAACTAGGTTTTCTGTGTCTAGGGTCCTTCCACTTTACCACAGAAGATGGTCAAGAACAACAGCCAGCCTTCCTCTGGATCTGACCATGGACCAACCCCACAGCCCCAGCAACTGGCCCACAGATGTGTTTCTGATCACATATGGGTGATCAATCTATAGCCAACCTTTTATTACTGGAAAAGCAAAACAAGAAGCAGATCCCACCAATGGCAGGGACACTGGTTCTATATTCTGAACATAGTCTGAACTCAGATAGTGGCAGTGGATACACAATCTTTATTTCTCTTAGTTGCAGGATTTTCAGGCTTCATAGGCACATTCAATGTGGGTGAACTGCCTATGGACACAAAGGGGAACCGATAATTTTGGTGTAATAGAAGTTCTTATCTAGGACCCTTGGCAAAGCCCTGAACTCTTGGGTTCAACTTACAGTCCTATAACTGCTTTGCTTTCTTCATGAACTTCAATTTCTCCAATGGAAAAAGGAAGTGATAGCACCACCTCTCAGAGTTATGGTAAGCAAAATGTCCAAAAAGGCAGGCTCAATCATGGTTGTCTACTTCCTACTCACTTCTCTGCTCAAAACATGCTTTTTACCCATTCTGTGCACTCCTGGGTCAAAATCTACTTATAAACACCTGATACAGCCTAGCCTACTGTAACTCAAGTGTGACCCTCCTGTCTTATTTGGCTGTAAGGCTCTGATGGTGTTAATATCCCAAATTTGATCTTGCTACTCAGTGTGGCCACAGACCAGGAGCACGGCATCACCTGTGTGCAAAAGGCCGAATCTCCAGACACCTGGAACCCACTGGGATCAGAACTTACAAGGGGCCTAATGGTTGACTGGATGGTTATTTTCAATGTAGTAATTTTTGGCTTCTGGGATGCAACTCATAACAGACTAATTAGTAAAAACCTTCTGCAAAACTGAATGTTTTCAACACAGATGATGAGGTTCTACAGTATATTTTGTTTCTAAGGAACACTTAGCATTCTCTGCATGTGACTTTCTTCCTTGAGTCAACTTTCTGAAAACATTTCTGAAGTCTTTTCCTAGGTATTCATGAAAAAGAGTACTTTTAAGGGCCTTGAAAGTAAAATTTACAACCCAAATTCCTAAAATGAATCACTAAATGCTGGATGGGGCGGGGGTGGTGGTGGTGGTGAACGGGACTGGTGACTATGTATCAGGAAACAAAAACCAGTCTGGGTGAGTAATCGCTATGATCAAAGATAACACAGCCACAGCCAAGGCTTGGCGCAAACAAACGGCCACAGCAATCACATGTCAGAATCTTGTGTTTAATGGTTTCTCACATTAAAATGCATAAGTCAGCTCTGTGAAACCAGGAAGTGGAACCCAGAGTACTACACAAATAATAAACACATTCTCTTAAATTTGGTATTCTTTGCCTTCTGCTCCAAGTCCAGTCCAAATTTGGGGTGGCAGATTAAAACAAAGGTGCTGTTTTGTCAAGAGGTAAGTGGAATCTTAATATGACAGGCTTCTGAAATATTTTATAAGAAAATCTAAATACTTTTCTGGAGGTCTACTTATTAAGGCATTTGATCCAATAGGAGAAAGGAGGTCAGAAGGTCACAGATGCCTTAAAATATGTAAAAGGGCCTATAATAGGGTAATAGACTCTAGAAGCAAGAAAGCCTGATACTGTTGTATACCATAAATACTCTACTCTTGTCGCTCTTTTTCATCCACTCCAAGCTTAAAAAAGAAGATGAGTGGGAACTCAGGCCATATAGCATCACCATCAACATGCTGCCTCCTGCACATTTTAGCAAACTCCTCGAGTGAAGACCAATGTCCTGATGTTCTTGGAAACTGCTGGACAGGGGATATATGCCAGGACCAAGCCTGCACCATACTGGCAAGACCACATAGGGATAATGCAGATATGTTTTTCAAAAGGAGTTATCTCCTATCAGCACCACACACCCACTAGCAGGCAGGGCTCCAGGGAAAATATTACTCACACAGTAGGTTCTAATGAGCTCCTGGACCCACAGCATAATCACCTTCCTACGAAACATTGGAGGCCAGGTAGGGGCAATGGCAAAAAGCCTCATGTCCCTGCTTTCACATGATCCCTTCCCAAAGTATTTAAAAACAAATCTATTAAAATCTCTGAAATAAGAACAAGAAAAAAATACTCCCCTGAAGTCCCCATGTCTAACCCCCTATTTCTATGTAGCTTGATACTACCTCATAATGAAGGGGACAAAAGGTGCCATGCTGAGAGCAGAAGAAGTGCCGTCCATTGGGGAAGGGTAGAGTTTCTCCAATACCAAAAGCAAGAGGAACATGCTTGGATGACGATCTGGTTCTCCCATATCACTGAAAAAGTCATTATCCATAAAAGATTTAAGATTTCAGGAGTGAAGCACTATCTTCAAACACTTTTCCCCATTAAATAATTAGGTATACGAAGTGAGATGCTAAATGATCGAAGAGATAGCTTTCCTTTCTTCATTTTTTTCTCCATTCACTTCATAGCTTCTTAATGTGCACTATGAGGAAAGATTCCTGGCAGAGCTGGGGAACTGTGCTTTTGTACATATCCTCTTCACAAAGCTCATCATTTGCTAAAGTAGAGCCTGTTGTTCCAGACTATGAAATGTGAAACTTTCAATGTCCAAATGTATTTAAGGAAGCATGAACAGGCCATCACTTGGTAGGGCCAAAAAAAGCCCATCTGCACAAACTAGTAATGTGAGGAAATATAAACAAAAGTAAAATTCACTGATATTTTCCCACTACAGATAATGTGCATATATTTATGACAAGTGCAAAAAATTGCTGGGAAGGATATAAAAGCTTGTGTTCTAAGATGTCCATACTGAAAATTTCACTATCATGTATAGAATGTGATCAAAAGGGCAATGCCAAATTTCTCTCTCTGTCTGATGAACTAGAAGCTCTCTTAATGACTCTGTATTTCCAAGGTCACTGGCTATTTTTGCTCCAGTAGACCATGACCAATATGATCACAGAAGATCAGATTAGTCAGCTAACTATGGTAATCTCACAATGATAAACTGCAACAATCCAGTAATAAAAAATGACAGGTATACATTAGCAAACTCAATTTCCAAATGCATACTTTAAAAAAATATGAGGAAGAAAGTAATTCTTAACAGAAGAAATCATCATGTACATGTAAGAAGCTAGTTCCAAATAAAATTGAAAACTGGATTAAATTAGATAAAATTTAATATAAAACTATTTTTAAAAATCTAACAAAGAAATGCGATTTTACATAACTTTCTAGGTACAAATCTATGACAGAAAGCCAAGGAATGTTACGTATTTCATAAAAGCACCATTTTTTTCAAAGCTATCTGTGTTATATGGAGGAAATTGATTAAAAACTGTTGCCTAGAAGAAAAATCTTGACTAACAAAGTACTTCACATCCTTGACTTCATTTTGCCCCACCCTATTTTCTTACCTGTCCACTGTATCAGCTACAGCTTCCAACTGTTTGAGAAGAAAGGGATAGAGTTCCGGGAATCGAGAGAAAAACTCTCTGCCTGTCATTCTATGGAGGAAGGAAAAAGAGATAAATTACTACCATATATTTCTCCTGATCTGTTAACAAAGTCCTCTATTTTTTAAAGAAACATAACTAAAGTCATTTGTTTGAACATTTAATGAAAAAAAGGGTTTTTGGGGGGGTTTTTTGGTACCGGGGATTGAACTCGGGTCCTTGAGCTTGCGAAGCAGGTGGCAAAACTGCTGAGCTAAATCCTCGGCCGAAAAGAAGTTTTTTTAAAAAAAAATTACAACGTCTTAAATTTAACAGTCAACAAATGTGATACATATAATTTTGATTTTGGAAGTGCTCTTGATATATGAACTTTTGTCTCCAATTTTAAGGTTATATGTTTCCAAATATTTGATATAAACTGTCAGGAAAGAAATATGCAACATGTAAAAGTGCCAAGTTTGCACAATCGATTTAAACTATGAGTACAGTCAACATCTGATTGAGACTGACTCAGCTTCAGTGATAAGGGCAGGTCTAGAACAATGTTTCCCAATTTTGGCACCAAGACAGTCTGAATCAAATAATTCTTTGTTTTGGCAGGAGGTGGGGGTGCTCTTCTGTGCTTTGTAGGATGTTTAGCAGGCTCTACCCAATAGAAGCCAGTAACACGATATCCCTCCCTTCAATCGTAACCATCACAATGTCTACAGACACTGCTAGCTATGCTAGTGAGACAAAATGGTCCCCTGCTCTGGTGTACGGTAGGTAACCTGAAGTACAGACTTGGCCTGTGAGGTTCTGGAGGTCCCATTCTGGCTAATATCTATAAGGATTACCTTTTCCATCTTTAGAAAAGCTACTCTTGAATTCTCCCAAGAGCCTAAAAATAGTTCCTTAGATTCCACAACTGAAAAAAGTTCAAGCTAAATTTAGCACTTAGGAAAGTAGACTGTCTCTGTAACTATTAAAGACCTACTCTAAAAGAAGGAGTACAAAGATTCCCTAACCTGACCACTTTTATCAACTCTAGATGTATACTCCTATTAATGAAGACCTAGAATATCAATTTAATATGAAGCATATTTTACACACAGCAAAATGCTCATATCTTAAATGCACCAATCTACACATGCATACTCGTGTCATCCATACCCTCAGCAAAACTCAGAAAATTTTCCATAAAGCTCACACATGCCCTTTCTCAGCCAATCCCTGCCCCCAAACCAACCACTGATTTGATTTCTATTACCAGTTTGGTTTTCTTTATTTTAGAATTTCATAAAAATGTAGTAATATGTTATGTAATTTCTTGTATCTGCCTTTTTCACTCAGCATAAAGTTGTCCATGTTATTTAAGATATCAATAACTGGCTTCTTTTTCTATTGAGTAGTATGTTATTGTAAGAATATACAAGTTTGCCTGTTCGTTCGTTCCCCTGTTGAAAGACACCAGCACTTTCCATTTTTTGGTCATTCAGAATACAATTATTACGAACATTCTTATACCAGTTTTTTTTATGGACATGTTTTCATTTCTTTTGGATTAATATCTGAGAATAAAACTGCAATACGTTTAACATTTTAGGAAACTGATAGTTTGCAAAACAATTATATCATTTTATATTCTCAGCAAGAATAAGTGAAAGTTCTGGTGTTTCTATATCCTTTGCAGTATTTTCTGTTGTCTCTTCCCTTTCCATTTCAGCTATCCTTATGAGTATGCTGTGGTATCTCTAATTCTGACTTGCATTTCCTTGATAACTAATGATGTTGAGCACTTTTCATCTGCTTTGGTTATAAGTATGGCCTTCTTGAAAATCTTATTTATTTATTTATTTATTTATTTATTTATTTATTTATTTATTTATTTTTGAGACAAGGTCTTGCTATGTAGTTCCTTGAACTCTCTATGTAGCCTAGGCTGGCCTCATGGCAATCCTCCTAACTCAGCCTCCTGAGTGTTGGGATTATAGGCATGTAACTACCATGCCCAGCCTAAACTTATTTTCTTAATAATGTCTTTGATCTGCAGAAGTTTTAAGTTTTTGATGAAGTTCAATAATTACTCTTTTGTTTTTCCTTTTATGATTTGTGCTTTTTGGGGCCTCTCTAAGAAATCTATGCCTACTTCAAAGTAACAATGATTTTCTATATTTTCTTCCAGAAATTTTATAATTGGAGTCTGTGATTGATCTTTAATTGGGGGGCACTGGGTAAGATAGAGGTCAAGGTTCTTTTTTTCTACAGTGGTCTATCATATTTTTAATATAATGTTCCTTAAATAGGAGATATACTATGTTCATGGATTACAAGATTTGATATTATAAAGATGAAATGTTTCTCAAATTGACTGTAAATGCAATGCAATTCCAGTAAAAACAATGTGTGTGCATGTGCATGTGTGTAAGTGCTCTGAAAAGGAAATTCTAAAATGCATATAAACACACCAAGGCTAAGGCTAAGACCTACCAAGGGCTAAGAGTAAGAGTAGCAAAGATAAGAGCAAGGTTGAAGGCTAGAGACAGTATCAGAAGTTGTAGTAGTTAGGACAAGTAAGCCCATAAAAGAGAATTGAGACCACAGGAACAGAAACACACAAATATGAAAATTAAGAGCTGAGATGGGAGATCACAGAAAAGGTGGTATGGTTACTAATTATACACACAGATAAAATTAAAGCTGGATCCCACTCTCCCACTATATACAAAATTAAATGCCACTGAATTCAGGACTTTAAAACAGCTACAAGAAAAATGCAAAATAATAAATGCACAGAGGTTTTGGCCTATTTTGAAAATTTGGAATTCTGTCCTGACTATTCCTGGCATGAGGCTTTTCTTTTCTCCCAATGACTACCTCAGGCAGCTTACTTGATACATCCTCCACATACACCCTCGCTAAAGGGTGCCTACAAGACTCTACTGTTCAACCACCAGAATTTTTTTTGTAAAATTGACAAGTCCTAAGTCATAAGGTAATGACCACTTGTTTGAGCACACAGTTGATTCTTCCTCAGGTAGCCCATGTGGAACAAGACTGTCCTGTCTCTCTTGTATCTGACTGTTCCAGACAAAAGGCCTGGCTGAACTGAAGAATAATGGGGTGGTGGGTGAAGCTACAGCTACTGAGATGGAGACAACTGACTATGTGGAGGTGGATGGAGAACAACCTTGACTCCTGGAAAGGAGCACCTTAGATCCAGAGAGGTACAATGGAAGAAGGAATAGTAATGATCTCTATTGCACTACTACAGTCTTTCCTAAGGAAAACTTTCTCCTACAGCACCTCCACAGTTGCAACCACATTAAATTTTATTAACTGCTGGATCTGTCACCCTCCATCAGATAACTAACTCTAAGCACAATTTGATTGTCTTTTCCCTTAACCTTACTGAGAAGTCTATCAGAAACTCTAAGTAATTGCTTTGGCTCCAGCTCCTAATCTTTCCAAGCAAAACAACTGTCAAGACACCTGCATATCTTCCCCATTTCTGTAGCCAACCTCAAACGTTGCACAAGGCAACTGAATGCCTCTCAGCTGGTGGTATGGGCAGAACAGGACAGCTTGGAATGACTGCCCACAAGCAGTTATCTCTAAAACCAAAGACTAGAATCAATTATTTGAACTTAACTACTCCTTTTCCCTGAAAATAAGATCTACCTGGAAAATAATCAGCCTTGAGAACCAAGCAAGAGAATAGTAAGGCAAGGATAGGCTGATTGGGGCTGGCATTTTTGCTCTCTAGTTTTCAAGGCTGATTAATTTCCAGCTTGGTATTATTTTCAGGGAAATATGGTATGAACTTGAAGATTCATCAGCTGGTTGCTAGGCTATGTTTGAGGCAATGACAACATATGCTCTTGGACTAATGTAGAGAGCTCTCAAAATTATGAACAAATGCTTTCTTTACAGGGACATCACATATACCTGTGAAACTGTACTTCTTTTGTGAAAGCAGGTATTAACTTGCTTCTCTCCTCCAAACATGGTGATTTGACGTTAGAGGTAGTTGAAAAGACTTTTAAATGTTTTAGGAAATGCCACCAGATCATGTACCCTTCCAGTGACTATCAAGATCTCTTCAAAATTAGGGATTATGCTTGGTTATTCACATAAGTTTCCCAGAGGAATAAGTGACTTAATGTCTGCATACCTGGTAGCAGGTATCTCTACTAAAAGAGATCTCCAATTAGCAAACATGGTATAAAATTTGGCAACTGACTTTAACTGAAGTAGTCACTGACAGCACTTGAGCCCCAAAGGTCACTCAAGTCTCCTTCAAGTCATAGGAAAGGGTTATTATGATGAAATATTGCCCTTAGTTTCCAATTTGTAGGTTAAGACAAAGTCTGGAGCCGGGTATAGCGGTCCATGTCTGTAATTCCAGCTACTTGGGAAGCTGAGGTGGGATTACAAGCTGAAGGTCAGCTTAGGGAACATAGTAAGATCCTGTCTCAAAATAAAATAAAAAGGGCCACGGATGTAGTACAGTGGTAGAGTGCTTGTCTAGCATGTAGGAGGCCCTGGTAGATCCCAGTACCCATCCTATACACACACACACACACACACACACACACACACACACACACACAAACATGACGAGGTCTTCAATTGCTAATACATTCAGAGGTATACGGATTAATGGTTTTGGCTAAGCAGAAAGGTAAACAGAAAAAATTCAAGAGAACGCCATAGACCCTATTGGTTTACAAGACCTGTGCAACTGATTGGATGTGAGACACTGAGGGACAAGAATGATGTTAAGCTGAAAGGTGCACTCATCTTGCTGCTGCTTGGAGTCCTATTAACAGTAACCTAAATTGAACATTTTACGAGACAAACTGAGTGAGATTTAGTCAGAACCTGTCAGTCAGGTTAATCAAAGAAACTGTCAGTGTGGCATCCTCGTGGGAAAATCCTCCGGCAGTGATGAAGGCACAGAAATGAGGGGTGGATGTGGCTGAGAGGTAATTCTCAGTGAGTTCCTTACCTTACTGCACATCTTACAAAGGGAGGCTCTGCCCTTTGGTCTGGACTCCACTCAATGATGT